CACTCGGTAATTTTTTCGAAAAATAGCAATTCGAAGACCTTTTGCTATAAAGTCGACGATATTTTTAAAACGGTAAATAAGAAATCGGATACAAATTTATACTTAGAATTATTTTAATTCAACGTTTCACTCATTCTTTCGTTGTTTTAAATTTGATATAGTAATTCACATCGATCTTCGGAATTATTACTTAGAGTCACTTAGGGTCACCTCTCGAGTGTAAAAGGTTAACTACTTGAGTTACCATTTAACCATGGCGCCCCCTTTTGATAGCACGCACCTATATGTGTCGCGAAAATTGAGCAATGACGAGTATACTCGTCAATCACAGAGTAAGTGTCGCTGTTAAAATATTGGATCATAAAGATGAGTTTATTTTATAAAATTGACAATTTTATTACTAATATTTACTTATTTGGTTAACATTTATTCTCTTATTGGTTAGTTTTTATGGATATCTATGAATTTTAGTGACCGTCAAAAAATAGTTAGGTAACTTCAGGCTAGCAGCCATCAATGGGTTCAGTGCCTGGTCAGTGTCACGCATTTGTCCTGTGGCGGACCATCCCTGAAGGAACCCTATCATAAATCAGCTTTCCGACTTTTGCTTTTGCCCCTTTTACGCTATCATCTAAAATACGTTATCATCGCGCATAAATAAATTCGTTATGCGAACTGATAAGCTGTTTCAACCGGTGCATACAGGGACGCATGAGTTCATCTCAAATTATTCATATTTTTTATTTGTTTGTTTTAATCCGGCCTGTCCTCAAAATATTCTGAACATCCTAAAATTTGAGAATATATTTTATTTTTCACGAAAATTACAATTTAAATAGCCAATGGTCACTACTTTTTACGCATAACGAGTATGCTCGTCGTGACACAAAATCCTGCCCCTTCTCCATGACGAGTATACTCGTCAATCACAGCAAACTGGTTAATTAGGACACTTCATGCATTGAAAAGGCATAATTTACTTAACTTTAACACTAAACGTACTGGGATTTTACACACACCTATTCTAACCATAGGGGGTCAAATGACCCTTTGTGATATATAAGGTATGCAAAAAATTTGTTTCGGTAAAAAATAAGTAAAGAGAAAAACGGAAAGCGAGAAATTAAACAATCAGATAATATGAGAATTTACAGAAAGTCAGATGAGCGGAAGAAATAATAATTTATAAAGTAAATTTTGAAAGGGGTCATTTGACCCCGCTTGATACGTTTAGTGTTAAGTAGCCATTATATACTTCATTCACAATGAAATCATGAAAACTCTTAGGACTTTTAAATTATAATTTTAGTATAATTTTGACTATATGATGAATGTAACTTGTGTTTTGAACAAGATTCGCCACTATATCTTCTCTTAACTTGTAACAAATGCAAACACTATGTTAAATGTTAACATAACATATTTAAAATTTTGTAACATTGGTACTTTTAGTTATGTGCAATTTTTCTGTGAAAATATTTCTATGTATTAAAAATTCATTATGAGCATCTAAAATGTTAATAATTGTACATTCTCAGTTACAATATTATACTACATTCTTAACAGAAAATTTTAATGCCCAGCCAGATCATAGTTATTTGGAACATTTGAGACTCATGTCTATCTCAAATTTAGAATTTTTAAAATAATATTTTAATACTGCAAGGTATACAAAATAGATAAAAATAAATGTTGCAATGTTCATTTTTCTGTTATTTTATGCCACGTTTATTCTTTTTGTAAATTTTTGGATGTTTATCACATACCGGTTTTTCACATTCTAAACATGACTGCAACAGTAACATAATGTAAATTAGTCAATTAAATTATCATGTGTAAATTCATTATTGGATATCTGGATTATTGGATTGAATTATCATATGTAAATTTATCACTGGATATTTTGTACATAGAATACTGATATAAGGGTCAATTGACTTCAAAAATCTTGTTATTATTAAAACTAGCTTGATTAAAATGATATTTAATCTCCTTTTTATTATATCTTATTATGATATTTTTCTACCTCTTTTGTCTTTTGTTTACATAAATATTGAATCAAAGATTCAAACATGCATATGAATTATGAAATTGTTACAATGATTATACACCTTAATTACAATATTATTGTAATATTATTTACAATACATTTATTATAATACTTCATAATATACCTGGATTATTGGATTATCCATCATTGGATTGAATTATCATATGTAAATTTATCATTGGATATTTTGTACATAGAATACTGACATAAGGATCAATTGACTTCAAAAATCTTGTTATTATTAAAACCAGCCTGATTAAAATGATATTTAATCTCCTTTTTATTATAATATCTTATTATGATATTTATTATATTTTTATACCTCTTTTGTCTTTTGTTTACATAAATATTGAATCAAAGATTCAAACAGGCATATGAATTATGAAATTGTTACAATGACTATACACCTTAATTACAATATTATTATAATATTATTTACAATATATTTATTATAACATTTCATAATATCGATTATTTTATATCATCATAATATTGCTAAAATACTACTATAATATTAAATATCAATAATATCAATATCGTCAAATTATTATTAAATTAATATCATTAGGTTATCTCAATAGTATAAAATTATTATAACATCAAATTATCATAATGATCGTCAATCTAAACGTAAGCAATTCCAACATTTTTAAATAAAACATTTACAATTTGTACTGCGTGTAACGATTAAATAATAACATCACACATAACCTATAAAGACGTATTCTCAATTTCTAGAAACACGTAAACTAATCGAAACAGAATAATTGCATTCCTGTGTAAACGAGTATACCTCTATGGTAGTCGTAAATTGACATATTAAAGTATAATTACTTACATCTGTATACGGTACATTTATTGGCTAATTTATCAGGAATCAGATTACAATCGAGGAAGTTTCTATGTAAGAATGTTGCAAGGTACTTACTACGATGGTGAATGTTCTAAAACTGATACTATTGCCTTTTCTAATGCCTCTCGACGACCTTCGGTTCTTCTGTGTACCTAGCAGCTTTGACAGTGTACACGTGTAGCTATATCCATATGATTCAATCACGAACGGTTACGTTCCGCGCTACGACATTTGCGCACGCGTCGTCGCAAGCAACGTGACATATCGCGCGCTAAGGAATTACAGGATATCGGTTCGTTGGCCCATCGATCTCGGCAAACCTATTCCACTTATTCCCCATAAGGCAGTGACAACATACTTTACACCGCTTATTCTCTGCGCGAACTAAATACCAGATGTATGTTTCTGCAGTTTCATGTTTTTCTCTCGTGTAGTACAGAATGATATTGTAAACAGCCCGTACGTTCTTCCATATGTCTGCTTATCGGTGCTACGAATTTTAATGGCACAGGTGTAAGGAATTGAAACTCGTTTAGATAACGTTTAAAAATTCTTTGTTAGTGAGCTAACAAAGGAGAATAACATACTAATGTAATTCAAAAGTTGTGGTATCGTGACAGATTTTATACATTTTTTTCAGAAGTTACTAGTTACTAGTGTTACTAGTGTACAATTATTTTAATACATTGATGTAATTCAAAAAGTTATAGTATTGTAACATTTTGTACATTTTTTCCAGGAGTTTAGTTATTAGTGTACAATTATTATGTATGTACTCTATATTACTAATATAGAAATTTATATTAGTAATGTTACTATATGTTACTAAGATATTGCTAATATAGAAAAATAATTATATATTCTGTAATACAATTCTGGAAATGAAACTGGAGGTATATTAAAAAGTAAAAAGTAAGACACAAAAAGACTATGAAGTCAAAAAAATTTACAATGTGGAAGCATTTTTCATATTAAGAAGTTTATGCTAGTAGAAATAGAGTTTATAGATAATCTATGGGATAAAATAAAATGGGATGAAAATATATTAAAAAAGTTACTAGGATGTACAATATATATAATAAATTACTGATTTTTGGTTCTTAAATGCGAAGAGATAAATATACTATTATTTGAAGACTCTTTTATTTAAGTAATCGTGTTTAAAATCATATACGAAGATAAATTTTTTATCTGTCTGATAGAAATCAAATGATTAAATTCGTCCTACATATTTCTACGTTGAGGTGAGAGGCAATTCAAACAAACTCACCTTAACGAAAGTTGTTAGAACACCGACCACTTTGGGCGCGAAAGCGACGGTAATTCAAATAAATAAAAACGTTCCAACGTATACCTTATAAATTCTATATGCGATTCCATATATAAGAAAACCGTTTTTCCTCATTTATAATGAGTAAAGGATAATATAAAAACACAAAATATGCAAATAATATCTAACGCTTTTCTCAGGAATTTTAATAAAATATATACATCATACGTTTATTAATATTTTCTCGAATGAAAGGTAAATTCATTTCCAATTTTGACACGTCGATTTAACCTCAAACAATGTCATAAAACATATATATACTCTACAATTTTCAGGAAACTACACAATATCTGAATATGCGCATAATTATTTTTGCATACTAATGATCAGTGACTATCATTTCCTACTTCCTACTAATTACATAACCTTTTTAAAAGATGTATACATCGAAATATATTAAAAGATAATTAACATATCCCAATTTAATTGTATTCAATTTCACATCGATATATTACATAACCGTTTATCTTTCATTTATTAATTTCCTCTAGAAAACAAGTTACTAGAATATAAATATTCCAAGTATCAGAACACGACGAATCTACGAAACGATAATAGACCATATTTCATCTGTTTTCGGTTGAGGAAGGAATAACGTTAAAATGGAAGAATTAACACGGGCAGACGGGAGCAGGAACGTGTTGTCGGTCGCAAACGGGGAGCACCCTAAAGTCGTCGATACTCGTCGCATCGATAGTGCGAGCACACAGACACACTCCCACACGCAGGTAATCCCTGTCTCTCTCCTCTCGTCCGGCGTGGCATCGCATTGTCGGCGCAGACGCCGTGGCAGCGCTTATTGATCGTGGCTCTGTGGTGCTCGGTGTCCCTGCACGCGTCATGCGTCGTCGTCTTTCGCGACGTAGCGACGGTGCCGGGCAGTAAGGTTCACTCGTGTTCCGTCTCGTCCGCCAGTACGAGGTAGCCAATAACGACGGTGCTAGTGCCAGCAGACGTGTGTACTTTCGAGTCGCAGTGCGCGCAGTTCGCTCGATGGTTTTAAAGATAAACGGGATGCGATCGAGAAACGCGGCGATCGTAACCTGAGTCGCACAGCCGCCTGGTCCAGCCGCTGGAAAACGGAATTCGTTGTCGGCGAAAACGAATCGAAGATCGGAAAGTTGCCACTGTTAGCAGGTGGTTCTCGAACGATATCGCGATCGTCCTTTTTACGTCGAGTGAAAGTGATCGGCGGTGAAGCGTTCTCGAGTTGGCCGGAAGCTCAACCGACAGGTGCGTTCGTAGAGGCTCGCTCTGTATCGCGGGCAGTCGGTGCTCTGTATTGATTGGTTCAGCCGCGAGCACCAACCATTGCTCGACCAATCACGTTCGCGTACGGGCTAGGCGGCTTTTCCGCGATTCCGGCGCCGATCGACTTCGTTACGGCAGGCCGCGAACCTCTCTTGCAACTCGAGGACAACGAATCTAACAAGGAAACATGAATATGCTGGACCACGGCAACGTCCGCTACTTCACGGACGAGGAGACCGATCACAATATGCTCGAGGGTAAATGTCGCTATGACAACTTTCTTTGTAGATTAATTTCAGGTTCACGCTCAAGGTCGTTGCAGCTGTACCGCGGGTCCTCGGAATCGTCGGACAAGTTTGCCGACGAGACGCGATCGATCGGGCACGAAGAACGTGCTTCTCGTATATCTATGCTGTACCCACGTTATGTTTGTAATAGCGCTGGAAAGCGATGCAAAGTTTCTTGATCTTTCGAGTCAGACGATCGGTATTGTTCCTTCGTAGTACCTTACGGACGACTTCGACGGTCCGATGCGATGACTCACCGACACGGCTCATGAATCTAATAGTTACCGCAGCTGCACCGAAGCCTTAAGTGTTGCACACTGCGCCGTGTCTTCCTCCTAATTTTCATACGATATTGCAACCTTTCGCTCGTTTTGGGCGTTGTAGCGATTCTTACAGTATTTTGGAATCCGTAAAATTCGAAATTTTATTATTGTAAAATTCGTCGTTACGTTTTGGAAAGAAACTTTCCTTTCTCTTTTTTTTTTTTTTTTTTTTTTTTTTTTTTTAATTAGATAAAAGAAAGTTATCGGTTTCTTGATATTGACTGTTCAACCTTTGAACAGTTTGGGAACCCCGGTACAGACTTGCGTGTTACGTTTTTATAAGTGGTAGTAACTGCATCCTAAATAAGAAATCTGATGCTGTTATTTTGAAAATGCAGATATTTGAATGATAAAGATATTTGCATTTACGACATTTAACGAATAGAAGCCATATTAAAAGAATTATTTTCTTTTCCATCTACATCTAATGGGATAAGTATATGTGTGTGTATATATATACGTATTTTGACGAGGTCAGGTCAGAAGTCATAGACGAGACACTGGCTTTGAAGTTTCGTGAATGTTCTTTTTAATTTTGCCTAATATCAGCGCTAATTATTTTCTTATCGAAATTTAAGCAATTATCGAGGATAATTATTCTCGGTAAGGAAATATATAATTTTATTTGCAAAATGAAACAGGAAAACTCGTATGAGCACCTTATTTATGAATATTTATCAAGTCTAGAAAAAATTACTGTTTTCCGTCCTCGGTTTTTATCGCAGTCTTCTTTACCGATAGAGAACACGATGTGCGTGTCTGGAAATGATATTTTGACATGTGTGTTCCAATTAAATATTATTTTATCTCGCGCTCACGTCCGTTGGCTTTCTGCGTTATACTTTATTTGCTATATTTTCGTGCGAAACTTGTACAATATATATATATAATGTGGAATTCAAAGAATGGGAATGTGTATATTATACGTCACGAAGTCGAAATTACTATAGATAACGTAAGTAGATATTATTCCTAATGAAACTTAATTAAAGTGTAATTAGAAGGAAGATACTTCTTTTTATGTTATTACAGTTTATTAAAAGTGGTGTTATTATTACTATGAGATAGGATATCCTGTAAAAGTGTATTCAAAGATTTGAATATTTGCCCTCGACATAGATATTAAATGAGAAATGGTATATTTATATAATGAGAATTTACATCGTTGAGTATAATTTGCTTTTGATCATTCTCCTTTTGCCAAACAATTTTCCGTCTTCTAGAAGATTCGCCTCTCTATAGTGTAGATGCCACTTGACCCGGTATCTAATCAATAATGTATCTGGGTACGTTTTCAAATTACTATTAACGAAGATATTTATCAACGTTATATCTCAAGGTGCTTTTAAAATTAGAGCTACTTTAGGATTACAGATATTATTTTTTAGTCTATTACACTTGCTTTATATAATTATTTATATCATAGCGGAATTAGTTTTAAATTACTCGAATATAATTTGTCGCCAAGTATTATTATTACAATTAAAAATTAAGTACAAATAATAAGATTTCAAAAACCATATAGAATATTTATATGAAAATAATTGTCATTTAAATTTGATACTTATCTTGGGAATTGTTATTGCAAAAATTGGTTTTGCAGTGAAATATTAGTTTAAAATAGTAAGATGTCAAACACCATATTGAATATTTGTATGAAATTAATTGTCATTCAAATTTGATACTTATCTTGGGAATTATTATTGCAAAAATTGGTTTTGCAGTGAAATATTAGTTTAAAATAGTAAGATGTCAAAAACCATATTGAATATTTGTATGAAATTAATTGTCATTTAAATTTGATACTTATCTTGAGAATTATTATTACAAAGTTTATTAGTCCAATGAAAAATTAATTTAAAATAATGAAATGCCAAAAACCATGTTGAATATTTGTATGAATTTGTTTCTAATTCAAATTCGATTCTTATCCTGAGAATTATTATTATAAAAATTACTATTACAGAGAAAAAATAGTTTAAAGTAGCAGGACAACAAAAGCCATACTGAATATTTGTATGAAGTTGGTTACTATTAAAATTCGACACATTTATCTATAAATCTCCTTTCTTAGTGGTTTCAATGCAACTGTCTCGTTGCAGTATGTAAAATACGGCGAGCATATGAAATAAATAAGAGCAATGTGTGGTTTATGCAAATAAATTGTACCATTACCGGTCGCGTTTTGCTCTTTCCTTTTAAGATCTTGCATACCTGAAGTCACGTGGCATTCGAAGGAAGTGGCTGTGCATATTTATGATCTTTGCTTGAGGCTCTTAGCATACCTTTAGACAACTCTTGTTACAAAAATGAAAGTATGTGGGGCAGAAATAATGCATACACTCTATCTTTAGCACCTACATGGAAAACAGCTTCAAATTGTTATTCTTTTCAAACCGGTGGAAATGACCGGGGAATAATATTCAAACTGTACTGTACTATAGTAGTACTGTTCATTAGATAAGGTTCGTACCTGTTGATATCTGTGCAATTGATTGTTAAAGCCGTTTGTAAAGTTAGTCTATATTGATTTTATGCTAAGTTTGTCCTCTTATGGTAAGACCTATTCAATTTTTCCTATACCATTCGTCTGATTTCAATAAAAATACAGGTTCTAATAAAATATGAATATGTATTTAGTCTTACCAACCGTTGATAAAGCAGATTGGCAATTTGAAACTGAAATGGAAACGAGGTATTTTATATGCATACTAAATATCATGGAGACCTTAAATTTATTTAACACTTTTAAAAATTTTTAATTTGTAATATTATTACAATTTATTTTTAATGTAATATGATTGTAATTTGTAATAATATCAATATTATTAACATAAATTACTAACATTGTTATGATAATAGTATTAAAATTTTGGAAAGTATTAAAGTTGTTATAGTCACCAAAAAATAATTTTTATTCCCACTTAATCCAGAATTAAAATATGTGAATATATTTATTTGAAAATATATGTATTTATTTTAAAGCACTATTGTATTAAGTGACTACTGTAATAGTAAACATTTTGAAAATACTTTTCATAGAAGAAAAATTAAAATCGCATCAATTTTTCAAACATGTCAATATAACATAGTCACATCTTTTAATACAAATTTTTAAAAATATGTACAATAGTTTAGCACATATGATTTGCTCAAATGCTAATTAAAGATGTAAACGTAAACATTATACATTTCTTAGAAGCATTGCTCAATTTGTTAATGTTGATTTATGTTAATATAAATTTGACAAATTTATTAGCATATGTGACAATTATCGTCTTTTATAGTATATGGCATCAAGAACATATCTTGCCCAGATTTTTCCAAATATTTATTACATGGTTTCTCTTTATTTTTTATCTTCTCACTTTTTAAAAGAAAATTAGAAAATAAAAATTTATCAAAAATCAAACTGTACATAAATTCTAAATTACATCTTATAATGAAAGAATATGATTTTTATTGTTATGTAATTTCCTGCAATTGTACATGGACTCTACAATGATATATATTTATAGCTCTGTTGCTTCCTTTATAGCTAATTTACTTTTACACGTACATACGTATGAATGAAAAAGAAAAGGAGCGTATGGTACACTTTATTATTACTTTAGTCGATACCTTACCGGGTAGTATATTAATTAATTTTCTGAGCGTAGAGTTTCACAGTCCTTTGCCCGAGGCATTTCAAACTCACACCGATATTGCACTGATGCATACTGACGGTCGTCGAGGTCCGAGGTCCACACGGACGTAACACTAACACGGTTGACGGTCACACTACTCGAGACCCTCGTCGATACCCCACTAATCAGTTACAGTTTCGTTTTACGTTCGTATTTTCGTTTCTGATATACGAAAATATAAGAACATTGTAATATTTGGAAAAATGGTATGTATTTAACATTTCTATCGCTATATCGTGTATTACATGTAATTGTATGGTTTTGAATAGGGTGGGTAACTACATACATTCTTCTTGCTATAAGTGCATACTATAGAATATCCATTGTTACTTTCCTGTGTGAAAATAACTCTGTATGAAACATTTAGCACGCTTTCGACCTTTTAATCTCGTTTGTCTATATTCTCACCAGTCGATTCTCTTCTTAGCTCGCACAAAAATATCTTTTTTCTTTTCTACGAAATGTCTGTTGTTTCGTGTAAAGTATTTATATATTTTTAAACTTAATCACTTACAGTTGGCCACAAAATTGAGCGTACATCTACAAAATGGCGGAAGAATTAATGTAAATACACATATATTCGAGTAAAAACACAATATATATTTTATTTGCGTATATTAATGATACTAAAAATACTTTTAAATAAAGTCAATTATTTCTTTTTATTTAATGGATGACATAATGAAATTTTTATTTTAGTGGCACAAAATTGAGCGTACACGTATAATTAAACAGCGTTATTGATAAATTTAGACCTAATCAGTATTTTGTAGCATAATTTTTGCATTTGACTAAATTACAATTTTTATAAAAGAAGATAGAATACTGTTTCATTCTTCTTCCAACTTATTCTTAAAATTTTCTTAAAATTTAATTATTACATAATTATTTTATGATCTGAATATAATTATTTATATATTATTTGAGGAATAATATATTTTTGAAATAACATAGATATTCT